TGCGACAAGAAGCATGATAATTCCAATTTTGTATGGCATAGAAAGCAGCACATCCCTAATTATAGACAACAGAGAACAAGGAGTCATGTTAGCTAAAAGTTTGCTCAAGTCTCTCAGAAGTAGATTTCCTGTTTACATGGACAATACTTTAGACCAAACATGTATGGTTTTGGACCCAAGGTTCAAAACTCACGTTCTGAAAGATCATCAGAAAAATCTTGTGCTTGAAAATTTGAAGTCAGAAATTGTTAATGCTATTGCTGAAGATGAAACTGCTCCGACTCCGATTCAAGGTCCAGTTGAAGAATCGTCAAGCAGTTCAGTCTCAAGATCTCAATTGTTCTCAATATTTGAGACTTCTCAACCATCTAATCCAGTCCAAACCGGTAGAAGAACATTAGAGCTTCAAGGTAGGTGCATTAATGTAACTTAAGTCTTACTTCAAAGGTTTTTTTTATTTGGCTATATTATATAAGGCGTATGCCCTAGGGCCTTGATAATATAATATACATATTAACTTGTCACATTTACATTACAAGAGCAATGAAAATTCTTAATTTGCCTTTGATCACGATTTACATGGAAATTGACAATGTCAAGTTACAATACAAGAGAGCACCGATTACATGCTTCAAATACTTAAATTTTACTTTATAACAATAGGCCTAGGCCTACATCTTTTCTATCTACAGCTACATACCTTGAATTTCAATAACCAAATCTAATTGCTATCCTCATTTAGTTGAATTTTTTAGGTTTATTTTTTTATGTACCTAGGATAACAAGAACAAAATTTAACTTAATCATATCTTGAACTAGGCTACTGGAAAGAGCTCTCTAGGCCTACATAAGTAAGTATAAAGTACAATGAATGCAATGGGCAAACTAGGAATGACTTACTTAATATCTTGAAAGAAAGTTGTCATTGAAAGGAAATTAGGTTATAAAACTTAAAGTAAGCCTATAAGTAAATAAAAATCATACATCGCCTTGTGGTGTTTTAGGTGAACTACAGCTTGAGGCATATCTGAAGGAAAATCGAATAAAAATAAACGATGACCCATTTCAATGGTGGCAGGAAAATGGCTTCAAGTATGGACTGCTACTACCCTTAGTAAGAAGGTATTTGGGCATCCCAGCCACGGAAGTAGCATCGGAGAGGGTTTTCTCTTCAGCCGGCAACGTAATTACAAGCAAAAGAACAAGACTTCTGCCAGAGAATGCCGAACGGCTTATATTCTTACATCAAAACTTAAAAAAATTGGATGTTTAGGACATTTTTGTGAAACTTAGCTCTAGGTTCTAGTGCTGTGCTGTTGTATGTAAATTCAAAGATCTCTTATACTTCACTTCTAACCAAAAATCAAAAAGTGAGCTAGTTTTTTATGTTTGTTTTGATGCTTTTGTTAAGCATATAGCTTTTAGTTTCAATTTGTTATGTAGACTTTATAATTTATTTAGGCTAAGTTATTATTTCATTTCCATGATACCAGTTTCAACTTGTGTTTTGTTTGATTCTTTTTAACTCTATAAAGATCTCTTTTGTATTTATAATTGAGGTGATTAACAAATGTTTTTGTGTTTTACGTCATATTCATACATATACATACCTTAACTCTTAACTGTTATGTATGCTCTTAGACTGGGAGGTATGATTCACTTTTTAATTATTTGGTTTTTTGGTAAGCCCCTATTTTTATGTGTTGGGTGTATTTTACTGGCTTGTTTAGTGATTTTTTGTTACCTTAGGCCATTTAAGACTGTTACGGATAACAAATTATTTATTTGTAGGCCTATGTTTGTTTAGGACGTTTAGGTTAGGCCTGTTTTGAACTCTATAAAGATCTCTTTTGTATTTATAACTGAGGTGATTAAAAAATGTTTTTGTGTTTTACGTCATACTCTTATACTTCTAACCAAAAATAAAAAAGTGAGCTAGTTTTTTATGTTTGTTTTGATTTGATGTTTTTGTTAAGCATATAGCTTTTAATTTCAATTTGTTATGTAGACTTTATAATTTATTTAGGCTAAGTTATTATTTCATTTCCATGATACCAGTATCAACTTGTGTTTTGTTTGATTGTTTTGAACTCTATAAAGATCTCTTTTGTATTTATAGTTGAGGTGATTAAAAAATGTTTTTGTGTTTTACGTCATATTCATACATATACATACATTAACTCTTAACTGTTATGTAGGCTCTTAGACTGGGAGGTATGATTCACTTTTTAATTATTTGGTTTTTTGGTAAGCCCCTATTTTTATGTGTTGGGTGTATTTTACTGGCTTGTTTAGTGATTTTTTGTTACCTTCCATTTAAGACTGTTACGGATAACAAATTATTTATTTGTAGGCCTATGTTTGTTTAGGACGTTTAGGTTAGGCCTGTTTTGAACTCTATAAAGATCTCTTTTGTATTTATAATTGAGGTGATTAAAAAATGTTTTTGTGTTTTACGTCATACTCTTATACTTCTAACCAAAAATAAAAAAGTGAGCTAGTTTTTTATGTTTGTTTTGATTTGATGTTTTTGTTAAGCATATAGCTTTTAATTTCAATTTGTTATGTAGGCTTTATAATTTATTTAGGCTAAGTTATTATTTCATTTCCATGATACCAGTTTCAACTTGTGTTTTGTTTGATTGTTTTTAACTCTATAAAGATCTCTTTTCTATTTATAATTTAGGTGATTAACAAATGTTTTTGTGTTTTACGTCATATTCATACATATACATACCTTAACTCTTAACTGTTATGTAGGCTCTTAGACTGGGAGGTATGATTCACTTTTTAATTATTTGGTTTTTTGGTAAGCCCCTATTTTTATGTGTTGGGTGTATTTTACTGGCTTGTTTAGTGATTTTTTGTTACCTTCCATTTAAGACTGTTACGGATAACAAATTATTTATTTGTAGGCCTATGTTTGTTTAGGACGTTTAGGTTAGGCCTATTTTGTTTTTGTGTTTGTGTACAGAAGGCTATTATTCAAGCTAGATAGCATTGCTCATCTGTGTGCTTTGACAAAGACTGAGAAGATACACGATTTGATTTCTGTTCTTTAGTTTATGGTAGGCATAAACCTATTTTGTATAACTGTATTCAATGTATTATGTACAGGAAATGAATAAAGTAGTTTTGAATTGAATTGAATTTTCAATTTTCATATTACAAGACTTTTTTTGGGGGGGGGGGTTTGGGGGGCTAGGTTCAGGGATGTAAAAACACAATCAGCAATTTCATTGGTACTTTTTTATTCAATAAAAACATGTGCAATATCATTTTTGTAAAAAAGGCTATTGGAAACGGCTAGTAAGGTTCGAATATTGAGCAGAGCCCGCGGCCCGACCCGACCCGACTCGACCCGAGGGTAAAAAAAAATACCCGACCCGACCCGACCCGAAATCAAATAGCCTGACCCGTCCATCCCTAGTTTCTACTCACCGTGTGATGCAATCGCTGGACCATACAGCCAATAGGCCCATAGCTCATATCTTGGGTACGTAAGCCTACATATTTATTCATAACAACCTTTTTGACGACGATCCTTGATACCGGTACTTTTCCATGGCCTACCTACTTAAGAAATATAATTGCAAATGACCAAAACCCCAACATTGTGTGATTTTCGTCACATTTCCTTCTAATAGTAATAGATATACTAATCATTGTTTAGAGAATGCGTAATCTATTAAATAACAAAAAGTTGTTTGGGTAAGGTTGTTTTTTTTTTTCAAACTGACACCGATAAGATTACGCTATAACTTTTTACGAGAAAATCCAAAAGCAAGAGATCAATAACCTCGGGACTAGATATTAATGTATTTAATTGGTCGGATGTACTATAGTTCTTAGGTGGGGGAGCGAGCTGGTGTAGTGGCTAGAGCGCGGGACTTCGGTCCGTGAGGTCCCGGGTTCGATCCCCGCCAAATCACCAATGGATTTTATCTAAGTGATAATGCCGCAACCCCTAGGTCTAGCCTGAAGTAATGTGAAAAACAATCCCAGGCTCGTGCCTAGTGTCCTAGGAAAAAAAAAAAAAAGAAAACTATAGTTCTTAGGTAGGTTCTTACGTAGGTACTGGTTCTTTTCCTTAGAACCGTTGGTAGCTGCTAGAATCATTTTTACGTAGGTACCAACACATCACTGTAGTTTACAAATTAGTTATCGTTGATGTTGCACCTTATTTATTAGAGCCGTCCGTATTCAATTTAAGTGATGTCTTAACTCTGTATAAGTTTTGCTTTTTCTGTCTGGATTCCAAATCTTAGCTTACCCGGTATGCTAAGAAAATGATAACCTATTTGAGTAAAACATTTGTTGGGCAAACCATCATGAATTGTTTACGCCTTTATATTGTTTATGTATCAATAGTTCGTGGCCTTTTTTGGATTGTTGTGTGTATGTCTGTTGGTAACGCATTAATGTCCTTATTTCTCAGTGTTTCACGGAATGGACAAGAGCACCTTTGATACTGAAAATGTCAACCGGAATAAAGTGTTAAATGGTGAGGTTGAGGTAGTACTTTAAATACGTTTAAGTTAACCGATGTGGAAAGTAACTTTCAATTATAGGCCTACTTTAGGGCTACGCTTCATGGATCTATAAAACATTTTTTAGTTTAATCATTGGACATATGGACCATAACGATCCGGGTGACATTTAATTGCGAAGCATTTATTTTGGCTTGAACTGTCAGATACTGTATTTGCGAAGGTTTATATATAATAGTTTTGCCAGCATATCTACAAATATGCAAACTAACTGCTGTTCTTAATCTTAATATAAGAAGGTTTCAACTGACTACTATAAGATCCCCGTGCGTAGAATGGGCACACAGCTAGTATAAACTAAATTATTAACTTAATAAGTTTAGTTAGTTTATTTCAAATAATCTAACAGAAGCTGCAAAATTAGCTCTTGTATAAACATAAACAAGAACCTGATTTTTTAAAGTTTTGGATTTTAACAACATTAAATGATAATGATAAATATTACCATACCTTGACTACCTCCAACATCTCCTTAGGCAGATGTCTCATAGCATCTGGAGCTGCCACAGCAATGTTGTCCCCTTCCTGGTTGTCTACTCGGTAACCAACAATCACCTTCTTACTGGTAGGTTCCATCCCTATGACACACAAACTGCTGATCAGCAAAACACAAGAAATTAATTTGATTAACTATTTGTACAAATTCATTTTCATGAAGTAAATGCTATTGATGACATTAATGACTATTTAGATTTACATGTACTGTTGTTGTTTATGGATGGCTTCTTACTATGTTGCATTATCTGGGGCCTTCAGTTATCCACGGTCTTCCTTCTCCCAACAACCCCAGGTAATGGAGGTTACTGTGCTTAAAATTTGGCAGTCAGTTTAAATCACAGATTTGTGCAATGTAAATATCAAAGAAAGCACGAGGAGAGCTGATAAAGGTCTTTAACACTCTCTCTAGGTCTGTTTGATAGTACTTAAGAGACTGTGTGATCTCATAGACTATTATTAATCAGCTCCTTAACCCTCCATGTGGCTATGGCAAAGGTATTAATGTTTGCCTATTGATTGCACATTCACAGGGTTTTATCTTTGACTATTAATTAACTTCAGTATCCAATAAAACGTAGCTGAGTTAAAGTATGCCGCAGCCTGTGGCGAAATGCGCATTAGGAAACAAAATCTTCAAGAACTAAAGGCAACTACAAAACAAAAAGGTAACTTTTTTTTATTGTCAACAATTTTTGTGGGACTGACATTGTTTACAAATAAAAAAAAACTGAAAAGGTTTTTTAGGTTTGGGCTAGATAAAATTTTATAATTTATAGGTCTATAAATATTTTTAAATAGCCACTTTGTACTAAACTTTATGAGGATTCCAAAAATATATCATACTACCAGAGTACCCGTCCTTCGTACGGGAGTGGCATATAAGTATAAAATGCTTAGTACAGTTATACTCAAGCTTAGCGTTTGCAATGAGGGAGGACAAAGTATGATAAAATTTGCTTCTTTAAATTTACGGTATACTATAGTATTACACATCTACCATAGCCATAATGTTCTACCACTTCACCCGAACAATAGAAAAAAATAAATTATTAAAGATTCACAAAATATCACAAATTATTCGTGAAATTAAAAACATAAACATAACTGTAAACGGACAGTTCTCATTGTAGTCCAGTCAATGAATGCTCAAAACGGGGGTGTAGAGGACATGGAGAGGGGGAAATTTTTTTTCTGCGGGAATGTGTTCGGGGTAGTAAGAAGATAAAAATACCAAAAGTCCCCGCCCCTGGCCCTGCTGCTTCAACGGGGGGAGGGGGGGGAAACCCCATTTTTTAGTTTTTTACTTCTACACTGAAAACCGTGCATCGTACGGAAGAAATGTAAATTATAAAAATAAAGATGATGAAATTCTCTAAAAGAATGGTCATATTCATTTCTTCCGTATATGCATTAGTTTAAAAGATATTCTCAAAATAATATAAAAATTCTTAAATAAATTGATTTTTCACACGTTTTTTGTCAAATAAGTTTATATAATCCATTAGCCTGTTGTTGTTTCACATCAATCAGGATAGAAAACAGGTTTTTGAACACTAACCTATATAATATAATATATCAATCGTATATATTGTGTTAAAAATAGTTTATATAAATTTAAATAGATTATATATATTTGTCATGGAAACAAGTAATTTTGGCATAATTATTACATTAAAAATTAAAAAGATTATGTTTGTAGCTATATTTGTCCAGGTTTATTTATAACAATTACCGAAAACAAGACTTAATATTATTGTTCATGGTCTGGCTCACTTGGGACGAGAGGGTCCGACTTCTGTCCCAAAAACTGGTGCTATCTGGAACTGAAAACCACCATCTAGGACATCTCCATCATTCAATTCTTGTTGATTAGACTCAATAAAGTGAGAATTCGGTGTAGGCCTGTATATTCTTCATCTTCCTCATTCATCAGAATGGACATTTCATGTAAAAAGATCCCTTAGCAGTTCTGGCATAACGGAGAGCTCTTATTGGACATTTTCTTGCATGCACAAATTGCACATCTGGCACTGTTATAATCTTGAGCACATTTGCAAAAAACTTGGTTAAGGGATTAACTGTTCCTGGTATGGTGTCTCTGTTCATTCATTTGTATTGCGGGTATTGCATTGACTTTATGCTGGCGTTTTTAATTTTTTTTTTTTTTTTATTCTTGTCTCGATAAAAATCTCGGCCAAAAAGAAATCTCGTCTCGTGTAACGAGATTTAAAATTTCCCGAAAATTTCCCGAAATTTCGAGACTTGACCATCCCTAGAAAAAAGATAAGATATTTACAAACAATTTTGATTATATCTAACTGTTGTGTACATTGTGAGTATTCATAATCTTTGAGTCGACTTTTATAAAGTCATTGGAAATTATGACCGTTATTCGTTTTAAAATAACGCCTGTAATGCTTCGCAATTGCTCGAATTCGAGCAACAGGTACACTAGTTTTATTACTCCAACCTAAAGGTGAGTGAGCGTAGCAAACAAACTTCAACCAGGACGTGATTGAGCCATGGGAACGAGATAATCTTGAAAATTAAGAAGTTAAACGGGGCAAAGCCCGCAGGTTACAGCTAGTATAAACTATTTTTAACACAATATATACGATTGATATATTATATTATATAGGTTAGTGTTCAAAACCCTGTTTTCTATCCTAATTAATGTGAAACAACAACAGGCTAATGGATTATATAAACTTATTTGACAAAAAACGCGTGAAAAATCAATTTATTTAAGAATTTTTATATTATTTTGAGAATATCTTTTAAACCAATGCATATACGGAAGAAATGAATATGACCATTCTTGTAGAGAATTTCATCATCTTTCTTTTTATAATTTACATTTTTTCCGTACGATGCACGGTTTTCAGTGTAGAAGTAAAATCTAAAAATTGGGGTCTTTCCCCCCCTCCCCCCGTTGAAGCAGCAGGGCCAGGGAAGAGGACTTTTGGTATTTTTATCTTCTAACTACCCCGAACACATTCCCGCAGAAAAAAAATTCCCCCTCTCCATGTCCTCCACAATCCCTTCATTGACTGGACTATTGTGTATCACAGATTTTTGTTGCTGCTTAGTTCAAATTAGCTGTTTTCATAAATGAAAAAAAAAAAATAATAGTGCTGCATCCTGTTGGTAAATCTTATAACTTTTAATGCCTTTGCATATCATAGAACCAACCTTGCCATAATAGAAACAGCTGACTAAATTCTTTAATTAAATTTAAATATGAGTACTCATAAGGTTAACATGAGAAACTCTAGAGCCACTGGGGCGGAGCCCGAAAGGATTTTTGAGATAAAAATATGCCTATATGTTAATCGGGAATGTGAGCTATCATCATGCCAAATTTGAGCCCAATCCATCCAGTAATTATTGCGTGATTGAACTTCAAACAAACAAACACACAAACTTTCACATTTATAATATTAGTAAGATAAGGAGGTAAATTTGCAAATAAGTAAGTTATGGGTGAAGAACAGATTTTGCATATTTAGCGATAGCTAAAAACACATAGCTAGGAATCTAAAGGATAAAACCTACTTATCTAGGATCGTCAAATAGCCCTTTAACATCACTTAAATCACCTTAAATGCACCACGTGTAACTCTAGTACTGTTTATTTTTATCATTAATAACAACTAACAACGATAAATGAAACAAATAACATAAGTTGCTGATGTGAGTTTACGAGTTTACAAGTTGTTTACAATACGAACGTCATCTGTCTGCTACAACATGATCGGTACGAAAATGAAAATCATCTAGATACAGACATAAGGAGAAAGCTTAGAATCTGCCGAAAACAACGATACCAATCTCGATCTAGTAGAATCAGATTCAGTCAGTCCCAGAACCTTCGCCGTAAATTATGTTTGTGAGTCGCAAAAGCGCTCAACACGCTCCGACACTTAACACTCGGAGGGTTAATGCATGCGTAGCGACATGCATTAGTAGGGTAACATGCGTAGTAATTATCAAATAGCTGACTAGGGTAACAAAGATGGATTTGAAGTAATTTATAACAATACTTACACAAACAACTTATTATGTAAATAAATAGGATTTCTCAGAAAAACTTTGTGAACAATTAGGGTGGAAAAATTGAACTAGTTGCCATTTGAATGATTTCTACTCACCAATTCTAAATTCATATTTGTTGCGGTAACCATCAATGACTGGCGAAGCTCTGACCATGTCCAATTTGAAAGGCAGTTGGGTCTTCCTAAACTTGGCAATCTGCTTATCAATATACCCGATCAACTCTGGGGTTTTCTTCTCCATACAAACTGACAGCCATTTGAACAAACATTGGGCTTCTTCATTCTTTTTACTCAGCTGGAATTTAAAAACACACTGTGAAAATATTTGATAACTATTCCATAAGAACTACTCGTGTGATATTAATTAATTTCTATTAGGGGTCTGCGGTACAGTAAATTTAAGGTCGGTACGGTACAATATTTTGTACCTCGGTTCTCGGTACAAAATCGGTACGGTACGTGGCTCTTGTATTTTTGCGGTTTACTGCTCAGAACTATATCTAAACCATTATTTTAAACTTTAACATTGACATTACAGTACTATGAAAATGGATAGTATCCTGCATTCATGGTTTTCTAACAACAATTACTGTACCACACATTATTCAAACAAAACCTTTTACTACTACGAGGATTGTGTCAAGAAAAATCACAGTTAAGATAAAGGCTTTACCTATTTTACTCTGAGATACTTTGAATAGCCATGATAAAAATGGTTTTAAAAATAGGATAAGAGTTTTTAGGAATAAACATGTTTGAAACATTTATTGACAAGATAATTTCACACAACTGGTAAATTATTTCCAACCAACACAATGTCTAGTTGTTTTTAAAATTTTTTAAAACATATAAAAGCATTCAGTACGATGACAGTGTAGTTGCCAGCTGTTCACAGCAGACGACAATGAAAAACTGAAGGTTATGATGAAGTAATGGCAAAGAGCATCTTTTTTATCAGCTTCAAAACTAGTTATAAGATGGATACAAATTATTGTCTTTTTCATTTACAAAGTTAACATCCACAATATCAATCATTAGTTTATCTCAGGCTCAATCCAATTTTCTTAGTATATTTTAAAGCTCTTCCAAATAATCAAAAGACCCAGGCCTAGACCTAATTATTTAGGAGGGCCTATATATAAATTGATTAGGTTACAACGAGGGTAGCAAAATCACTATCTAGTTCATAAGATTTAGATTGCATAAAGTACCTTCAACACGATAAAAAATACATGTAAGCCTTAAACAGTCACATCTAACAATATAAGACAAGATACAGAACATGCAATGACATAATTTGAGACCAAGTAGACTTGAATAACGAAAAAAAAAAAATATGCAAAAAAACAACTATGCTTGTGGTTTTGTTAATAGAAAGATAAAATATCTATAGCCTAACAAATATTTTAACTTATAAAATAAGATTGTACATTAGTTACAAGTTTAATATGTGTTTATTAATACTTAAGTTTTGTATAAATTTGTGTAAAGCATTCAATCTTAGAATTTTAAATTTAAATATTTAGGCCTGTATGTACAGTTTATGCAACAAAATGTTCAATGTTTCATAGGATGATGTATAGATTTAAGCATGATGTCACATTTGTGTCCTGACTTCTGACGTTGTCTATTGTAATTTTATGTTGCTGAATGACAATAAAGATTATTATTATTATTATTATTATTATGTAGCCATAAACAGTTTTATGGCAATAGGCAATGGCCAGCGGCAAATTGAATATTCATGAAAATACTGACTGAGTTAGAGATAACATTTAACAGTCATCATAAAACTATTATTTTTGTGGTAAAATAGAATTGGGGCGTTTCCTTTACTGCAGGAGATGGGCCTATTCAAGAGTTTACCGCGATTGCAGAAAACAACATCAGTTTCCATGATTGTGGGGGACTATAAAACTGAGGATACTGATAACAGTCATAACAGATCCGCAAGCATTGAACTCTGGACAGAAATAATAACATATTCTGACAATTTGTTAAAAAATTAATACAAAAATATTACATCATTGATGTGGAGACTTTAACCTTTTTTTATTACTGGTACATTTAGGACACAAGCTATCCTATTCTTTTCTTTTTGTTCACTTCAAGCCGTGAAGTACCTAGCTAACTAACCCTATTTTGAATTTAAATATTTGAATCCAACCTGTTCCTCGTAAGAGATAGAGTGGTAAGGGATGGTAGACATCAACATCTGCTCCTCTATGGGAATGTCAAGTCTTGGTTTCTTGGAAGCCTCTTGTCCGCTGTCCTCCTGTTTGCGCTTGAGCACATCTGCGACGACCAACTGTGAGGAAAACAAGTATGTAGCCTAATTATTGTTATTTCAACTGTTTGTTCAGCTTAAGTCGGTAAATAGTTGATAGATTGATAATTTATTCTTTTAAATTTACTTTGTTACATAACTTTTTTTTATATTAAAAGATCTTATGTTAAGGAGGCACTCCAGCCCAAAAAAAAACTAGGAATTTTAAAAAATGTACCAAATTTTGGTTATTTACCAAAAAGTGTTCTACAGTTCTTCCCGAACATTTTGATGTATGACACATGATAAAAATATTTTTTTATGCGGTGTTATTTTACAAAATAAGTAAGTGCTACACTGGCCTCGTTTGCCAACCCCCCTCCCTACCCTTGTTTTGGCCAAATTGGCAAACTTTTGTTTTTAAAGTTTTTTTTTGTGTACTTTTAAATAATAACAAATGTTATATATGTAATAGGATTTTTTTTTATTTTTGCGGCGTTCTTCCCAACGGAATAGTGTTTCCTTTTGTTTCCGGGGCGATTACCAAAAGTTTTGATTTTCACATATTTTAAAATATGGGAACGTATGGAACTCAGGTTCTATCATTCTATGTGAGATAATCTAAAAATATTTTTTTTTCTTTTTTTTAAGGTTATGATGTATTCAACCAACTGTAGCAAGGATTTAGACAAATTCAGTTTTTAAATGTTTTAAACTTAATTATAAAACAATATCTTTGAAAAAAAAAGATTTTTTAAAAATTGTGTGACAAAATGTTTACTATAATAACTAGTGGATTAAGATTTCCTTATTTTCATAGCTCAAAACTAATGTGTAAAAAATAAAATGTTTCATACATAAATAAAATTGTTTTTTTATTATGGGTGGAGTACACCTTTAACCCTAGCAGTGGCCAACGAGCGTAATATGCTCGTTCGCCGTGACGCCTAGAATGGCCACCAGCGTAATAGGCTAGAGTATGGGCCAAATCAAATTTTTTTTTTATGATGAGAAAACCGCTTATAATTAGCTCTGATGTGAACAATATATATACAATTCGAAAGATCACATCCTGAACTTTCGTTTTATTATATAAGCAAACCCTGTAGCAGGTATATAACAATGTCACGACGATTAGAAATCAAATGAATTTTTGGCGTGGCACGACTTTTGCAGCTGACACTTGGGAACTGTCAAAACACAACTTGTTTGGCATTACCCTGCTCGGGTAATTTTCGTTTGAAATGTTGCGGGTGGTACCACTGGATAGCCATTGATTTTATCTTCATTGTGGTATTGATATTTAGAACGATATATTGATTGCACAACAGGTACGATTTGATGAAAACAGCTGTTTTTGAAATTTATAACAACTGGCTAACCAGCGTAATACCAGGGTGTCTAGTTTATTTCCATTCTAAAATTCAAGACTAATTCCAGACTTTTCAAGACTAATTCCAGATTATTCAAGACTAGTTTTTTCAACAATTAGTGGGTGTTGATACTGAAATGTATCGATTCTCGATTCTTGATACCGATACCAATTTTTAAAGCTTAACAAAATTTTCTGAATAATACTACACCAACCCCTGTCTTTGTCATAAAGTAGTATTATGACAATGTGGTGTTTTCAAGTAAAGAAATAATGCAGCAATCAAAAGTTCTAACTAGCAAATTTGGTTTTTTTTATCATGAAATCTTCCACGTACTGTACGTTGAGACATCATCATTGACTGCAGCGGTTACAGAAACGTGATCGACGTCGTCCGCGATCACGGCAAAATCATAAACATTTCCCGCGGCCTTGTAGACATCAATGACATCATCGTCGTCTCCCGAGATCTCAGAAACGTCATCGTCATCGTCCGCGATCGCGGAAAAATCGTAAACCTTTCCCACGGTCGTGTAGACATCATCGTCGTCTCCCGCGGTCACGGAAACGTCATCGTCATCTCACGCGGTTACGGAAACGTCATCGTCATCTCCCGCGGTCACGGAAACGTCATCGTCGTCGTCCGCGATCGCAACAAAATCATGAACATTTCCCGCGGCCGAGCAGATATCATCGTCGTCTCACGCGGTCACGGAAATGTCATCGTCGTCTCCCGCGGTCACGGAAACGTCATCGTCATCTCCCTCGATCGCGGCAAAATCAATAACATTTCCCGCGGCCGAACAGATATCATCGTCGTCTCCCGCGGTCACGGAAACGTCATCGTCGTCTCCCGCGGTCACGGAAACGTCATCGTCGTCTCCCGCGGTCACGGAAACGTCATCGTCGTCGTCCGCGATCGCGGCAAAAGCATGAACATTTCCCGCGGCTGTTCAGACATCACCGTCATCTCCCGCGGTCACGGAAATGTTATCGTCATCGTCCGCGATCACGGCAAAATCATGGACATTTCCCGCGGCCGTGTAGACATCATCGTCATCTCCCGCGGTCACAGAAACGTCATCGTCATCTCCCACGGTCACGGAAACGTCATCGTCGTCGTCCGCGATCGTGACAAAATCATAAACATTTCCCGTGGCCAAAGCAGATATCATCGTCGTCTCCTGCGGTCACGGAAACGTCATCGTCGTCGTCCGCGATCGCGGCAAAATCATGAACATTTCCCGCGGCTGTTTAGACATCACCGTCATCTCCCGCGGTCGCGGAAACGTTATCGTAATCGTCCGCGATCACGGCAAAATCATGAACATTTCCGGCGGCCGTGTAGACATCATCGTCGTCTCCCGCGGTAACGGAAACGTCATCGTCATCTCCCGCGGTCACGGAATGTCATCGTCGTCGTCCGCGATCGTGACAAAATCATGAACATTTCCCACGGCCGAGCAGATATCATCGTCGTCTCCCGCGGTCACGGAAACGTCATCGTCGTCTCCCGCAGTCACGGAAACGCCATCGTCGTCGTCCGCGATCGCGGCAAAATCATGAACATTTCCCGCGGCTGTTTGGACATCACCGTCATCTCCCACGGTCACGGAAACGTTATCGTCGTCGTCCGCGATCACGGCAAAATCATGAACCTTTCCCGCGGCCGTGTAGGCATCATTGTCGTCTCTCGCGGGCACGGAAACGTCATCGTCGTCTCCCGCGGTCACGGAAACGTCATCGTAGTCTCCCGCTGTCACAGAAACGTCATCGTAGTCTCCCGCTGTCACAGAAACGTCATCGTCGTCTCCCGCTATCACAGAAACGTCATCGTCGTCTCCCGCTGTCACAGAAACGTCATCGTCGTCTCTCGTGGTTTCGGAAAACGTCATCGTCGTCGTCCACTATCGCGGAAAAATCGTGAACATTTCCCGAGGCCGTGTAGACATCATCATTGGCTTTTGCGGTTACGTAAACGCAAGACGACGATCGCGGCAAAATCATGAAAATTCCCGACTTTGAAATCAAATTTAAGACTAAATCCCGACTTTTCAAGACCATTTTGAAATTCAATACTAATTCCCGACTTTCCCGATTTTCCCGACTACTAGACACCCTGGTAATACGCTAGTACGGAAAATACAAATTATATACTGTGTAAGTTATTATTGCTAGTCATATAATATGTCATTTTGAAAAGGAAGAAATGTAGCTTGTGATAGTGGCAGCCCTACGCTCAGGGTTATTTCCATTTCCTCTCAGGAAGACGACGAAAGTGCGTCACTACTGTCAAGGTCTCATACACAAAGTGCCTTGTATTCGCCATTGGGTGTTGTTGCCAGCGAGTTTTCGTTCTCGTGTTATCCACTATTTTTATTTATTTATTTTTTTTATTTATTTATTTTTTTTTTTTTTAAAGAGGTTGGCGGCCTATTTATTACTAAATTTGTTATTATTTCATATTGTTAGAGAAATGTGTGTGTATATAACAGTAATCTTCATGCATTTTACTATGCATGAATATTTACTGAATATGTGAAATTGTGTTTATAAAAGGTTGTACTTTTCTTGCGGTTGTATTGTGCGTTTTTCCGTTTATTATATTATTATGCCCCTAACACGTAAAATAAAAATTGCTACCCAACGTGTTATACATTTCTATGTAGGGAATTAGATTGTCTAAAAAATCAGCTATATAATGAATTTCCCATAAAAAATCTGTAAAAAAAGTTTTACCCAAGCTGCTTTTGAAATTTAAAAAAATAAATTCAAATCTTTTTTATTTTTTTCACTTTATCGAAGAAAAAACACTTTCTTTATCATTATTATATTACTATTTCTAGATTCTCCTGTTCTTTCTAAACAAAATGAATATGAGGTTGGCTAAGTTTACCTCAACGGTTGAATTTTTTACGAATTTTCAAAAAAGGTCTGCAAAATTGCCAAAATAAGTTGGCCATTCCACACTTCTAACATTGGCCACTGCTAGGGTTAACCGAGAAGTTAAAACTATTTTCAAAATAAAAACTGTTCAAGATAAACCTATTGTTCTTTTTTAATGGAATAACTGCATTGAACATAACACATTGAATATAAGGTTGTAATATCAACATAAATCTCAGGTTGTTTTAGGACCAAACAAGCTTAAAGTTAAGTTTTATTAAGAGGAGAAAATGGAAACAACGCCCAGGGCCTATAAAACATAGCCTACATGAATGCAGCAATGCCTATCCATTGCTTTTGAAATCATTAAGTTATCATTAAATTATCGATTATGAGATATCTCCTAAGACATAATATAGGCTACTACATTTTATCATGATTATATAAAGACTTTTAGTCATTGTAATATCTCCACTTACGGTACAAATTAGTGTTCGACCTTTCCATTTATAATTTCTTAACAGTTTCAAAGCTCTTTCTTGATGAGCTTGGTTGTAAAAAGTTATGTACAACCAGGAATTGCCTTTTTTGGGCGAACGAATGTATTTGAAGTTCAGTCCAAGATTTGCAAGCAGTCTTTTAAAATCGACTAGAAGTGGGTCCTGGAACAAAATAACACTTGAAAACAAACTAATAAATTAATAGCAGCTTAAAAGCAAAGTACGAATGACACAATATAAAGGTTACTTACAGTCTTCGCAATCCTGTTAGTTGAGCACTACGGCCGTTTCGGAGATAACTCCATCGTCGGGTGCGTAGTCATTATACACTAATCTGAGCTATTTACATATTTACATTTCTTAAGTGGTTTCTTCATTTTCATTGCGTCAAAGTTAAATAAATAGTACATACAACACAAAACACGGACACGACACGAAAACATTAAGGCACGTGCACGGCTAAAAACTGACGACCGACTCAGTTTTTCGTCAGTTTTTAGCCGTGCACGTGCCTTAATGTTTTCGTGTCGTGTCCGTGTTTTGTGTTGTATGTACTATTTATTTAACTTTGACGCAATGAAAATGAAGAAACCACGTAAGAAATGTAAATATGTAAATAGCTCAGATTAGTGTATAATGACTACGCACCCGACGATGGAGTTATCTCCGAAACGGCCGTAGTGCTCAACTAACAGGATTGCGAAGACTGTAAGTAACCTTTATATTTATTACACGCAATCTGCCACACTGATTAATCTTGAATGACACAATGTCCAGCAAGCCATGAAAATAAAATCCAGTCAGTTCCAGGATTTTTTTTAAGAAATAAATTTGGAAGTTTTTGAAAACTTTGGCGTGTACTACCGGTGGTACACTCAGCAACTCTGATGTGCGCCACTGGTGGACACCGTTACTATGGTGATTGTACGCAACAAAATGGCATTTCGGAGTCTTTGTGAGTGGTTTTACTATGTATTCATGTTTGTATGAAACATGTCCACTAGTGGTACATAAACCAAATTCAGGTTACACGAATATAACACCAAGTTACATAAAGATGTGTTAAATCCTTATATATAATTCTGTTAGACAAAATTGTGGACAATTATAAATCAAAATACAGTTCAAATATGGGCACAATAAGATCTGGTGTACCTCAAGGATCGGTCCTGGGACCTTTACTTTTCATTTGTTACTTAACAAATTTTAAAAAGTGTCTAAATTTTGCCCCATGTACAGGTTTGTATCTTTATGCAGATGACTCTAATCTTAAAGTATCTGGGAAAACTGCAGAAGATGTTGAGTTTCCTATCCACAATAGAAATAGCTTGTATTGAGGATTTTTTTGATAATCACAATTTAAAATTAAATTAAAGTAAAACCAAATGTGTCACATTCAAAACAAAACAAAACAAAAACAATTCCAATCCTAATATTGAAGTAAATAACCAACCAATTGAAATAACAGAAGCCGTAAGGTTCCTTGTCCTGACATTGGACAGCAACTTGTCTTGGGACAAACATTGTAAACTTGTTATCAATAAAATAAATTCTGGTCTTTGTGCGATTAGAAAAATGTCAAAACTATGCAGTGTTGATGTTTTAAAAATGATCTATTTTTCCCATATTCAATCCCATATATCTTATGGCATATGTGTATATGGAGCCACCTCAAATTCAAATCTAGACCAAATTTTGACAATACAGAAGCAATCAATCAGAGCTATGTTAAAAATGAACAAAGATGATTCTGCAAAAGAACACTTTAAAAGTTTAAGGATCCTCACTGTTTATGGTTTGTATGTTCTTGAATGTATTATGTTTGTCAAAAACAAAAATTTTATTCCACCAATTAAAGAAAATAATCATAACTACAATACACGTAACAAAAATAATTTTGTAATTAGAAAACACAAATTAGAGCTCTTCAAAAAAAAGACTGTCAATGCAGGACATGAATTTTTAAAATTTATTCCTTTGAAAATTAAAACAGAACAAAAACCCAACATTTTTAAAAAACGTCTCAAGGAATATTTAATGGACCTGTCCTTGTACTCTTTAGACGAATTGAAAATGGCGATATCATAGTTTTAAGCATTAGTTTTAACTTATTTGACACTATTCATGTACAACTATGTATACTATGAATAAAGATTCTTGACTATGACTATGACTATGACTATTTTGTTGCGGCGTGTGTGGAACTGTTAGTCTTCGCCTTATACCACTTTCTTTCAAGAACTTGTCAAATTCACCATTACAATATTCTTTGCCGTTATCGGTTTGCAGAAACTTGATTTTATTTCCTGTTTGATTTTCCACCTCATATTTATATTCTTTGAAACGTCCAAAAATTTTGTCTTTACTTTTCAAAAAATATACATAGCAGTATCTTGAATGTTCATCAATGAATGTTCCAAAATACTTATTTCCTCCAGGTGTAGTTACTTTCATAGGACCAACAATGTCAGAATGTATGACTTCTAACAAGCTTACATTATTTGCAATCTTTCTTGATTGAAATGGTGTTGTGTCAATTTTCCTTTAATACATGTTTCACATTCTCCAATTTTGTCTTTCATGTTGAAAGTTAATCCATTCAAAAATTCATTTTTTAAAGCTATTTTTAAGTCAACCTCGTTTAGATGACCTAACTTTTTATGCCAATCTATGATCTCAGGTTCTTTTGTATAGTTTGATTTTTCATTTACCATTATAGATTTTGTACTTTTGACATAATAAAGACCACCCTGACGTTCTGCTGCCACAATTGCATTTCCTCTTTGGTTTTGGACCACAGCTTTCTCTTTTTCAAAAATCACTTTAAATCCTTTATCTGTTATTTTACTGACACTCATTAGATTTGTTGCCAAGTCTGGTACAAACAGAGTGTTATTCAAATGTATGATTTCAGAATTTTTTAATTCCAGCGAAACCGTTCCTGTTCCAGAAACGTCAGATGTCTTTCCTTTAGAAGCAAGTTTCAAAATTCCGTTTGAATTTTTGATATCTCTGAACTGTGATTTCTCTCCACACATGTGTGATGTACATCCACTATCAATACACCAATCAGATGAATTAGAACCTAAAATGTTCAAATTTGAAGAGAAACATTCAGCCTCTGCTTTAAGACTATTTCCCATTTGTTTGGATCTACAGTTGTTGGCTTTGTGTCCTATTTTTCCACATCTAAAACATTTAACTTTGAAACCTACTTTTGTAGTGTTGTTCTCATCTTGTTTCTCATGACTATAAGTGTTGTGAATACCTTTCTTGGAGTTGAACTGCTTTGTTTTGCAATACAATGTATCTTCATTATTCGTATCTTTTGACTTAGCTTCACTCTCCTCAATTACTTTTATTTTTAAATCATTAGGAGAAGGTAAAGTGTCTCTAAACTCAATTGCTACACGGAAATTTTCAAATGATGATGATAAGCTGTAAAGTAGCATAATGCTAAGTAAGTCTGAACTGATAATGATGTCCATTTCTTGAAGTTTGTCAACAATCTCCATAAATTTGTTGACATGATTCCTAGCATTTTCTCCATCTTTCATTTTATGAACTATTAACTGCTTTAATAATGTGGCTTTCCTTGCAGGACCAGAACTTTGGTAATTGTTCTGCAGGCAATCCCATACTTCTTTGGAAGTTTTGCAGTTTTTTACTAATTTCAATTCACTAGGTGAAATTATCAATATTAGTTCTGATTTTGCTTTAAGATCTTTAACTATCCAGGCATTCTTACCAACTTCATCCTCAGGACATTTGTTCTCCCCAGATACATAATCCATTAGGTTTTGTTGGATTAATATAGCTTCAGCTTGAATTTTCCAAGTGTCATAACTATTTTGTTTCAAAGGTTCAATTATATAGCCAAAACTCATTTTACTTATTTTTAAGCACAGAATAGGCCTACTGTAAAATGATTATTTTATTATTCCAAATGGCCCATAACCTTTTTTATGGTGAAATTAAAGTTAATGAAAGAATAAATTGTTGTAAACTCTTTTATTGTCTTACAAACACAACACTACACTACACTGAATTATATTTAGTAAACAACTTCATATGTACAATGTAAAAACATATGATGGTCCATCACTAATCCAGACTAGATGTGTTGGGTTGCAATATTCAACAGGATCTCAGTAACTAATGATTTTACAGCAAACTTTAAATGGGGAACATTCCCTTGTTTTTAATGAGGTTTAAAAATAATTAAATGAAATCTTTGTAAATGGCCGCCATTTTCCAATATGGCGGTCAACTTTGAAATTTCTTATCGAAAAAATGTCTGGAATAAAAAAGTTTTTAAATTGCATGTTCTATCCGAAAACATGATAAAATATAGGGTGTTCCATAAGAAATTTCAAAGTTGACCGCCATATTGGAAAATGGCGGCCATTTACAAAAATTGTATCTTATTATTTTTGAACCTCTTTAAAACGGAGAATGTTCCCCATGTAAGTTTGCTGTAAAATCATTAGTTACTGAGATCCCAATGGTGGCACACTTAAAAAAAACACCCTGTATAGATTTTTTTAAAGAAGGCAAAAGAACTTAAAGACATAACTTTATTGCTAGGAAAGCTTTGTGCAGCAATTGTTGCTTGTTGTAGAAAGTTATTGAATGTGGTAAAGACAGGTTCAAAAAATGAAGAAAATTCTGCATTTCATTATAATGATGAATATATTGACATAGAGCTTACAAAAATAATTACAAAATTTACCACAAAAATAAAATGTATTTGGTTTTGTTTTATATTTCTATCAAGTTGTTTTCTTTTGACTTTGACGTGTAAAAAATGATAATCTAAACCCCACTCTTATTTTTATAACATTTGAAAGATAATTTTATTCTCTTTCCAGTGATAAAAATTTACTCCTCTTTGTAGTAAAAATTTAGAAAAAATGTACTAAAAAATAGAAGGTATTTTGTTTTGTTTTACGTTTAAATCAAGTAGTTTTATTTTGACTTTGATGTGTAATAAAAATGTTAATACTCTAAACCCCACTCTTATTTTTATACCATTTGAAAGATAATTTTATCCTCTTTCCAGTGATATATAGTTTCATAGGTTTATCTGGAGCGAGATTTTTGTTATGAAACCTTTTGTAACTGAATGTTCCGATTTCAGGGAAATATTTTTTTTTTTCATTTAGGATTTTTTTTGGGGTGATAGTAGGTACTAGTTATCATTTCAATTGTATTATATGATTCTGCATTAAATTTTGGATATATCAGTAAAATTTGAAAACTCTAGCTTAAAAATTGTCCATTCCACATAGAAAGACGAGAATACATGCACGCTCCCTTAGCGACAAAATGGACCTTGGAAACTAAATTCGCTCAAAACTTCAAATACCCATCTCTGAAACCGTTTGACACAATGAACTGAAATTTTGGATTTTATCCTATCTAAATGCCTTAATTATGTGTACAAATTTTCATGAAAATCTGTGATTAGTGGGTGACAACCCCTAGATGACTTGACATGGAATGGCCCTTATTTAAAATTAGGTATTGATCAGTAAAGTTGATATCCTGCATGTAAACAAACCATTGTGGTGGAAGGCTGGACAGAGAGAGATAGTTGACAGGTCAGTGATAAGAAGCTCAGGGTCCAAGTTGGCTAGCTTCAGGTGGAGAGGCAGCCTGATTCCTGTTTCCAAACAGGAAATGGTTCTGTTCTGACCAAGTGTACAACCTTTCTTCCTGTTTTAATTATTTAGCCTATCCATGTTTGAACGTTTACAAATTTAATTGTCAGAATAGTGAAAACATACACTGTGGTGTTCAATTTGAAATATCCAACCAGAGAAAAGTTATATTAATGATTAGTGATTTACTGAAGAGGTTATTTTGAAAGCTTGAGAAACATGTGACTTTCGGCAAAAAGTAAGTTTTTTTTATTTTACTAATGACAAGTTAACTAATTGAGATATTTTAAAGTCTATTAATTATTAATATTTACTCGTTTCCAGTTGTGTTTGACGTGCAACTTTCACTTTAAAAACTTGAAAAAACCATTTAAATTACAAAATTAAAACTGTACAATTTAGCATTAAACTATAAGCATACAACCATAGCGTACGATCCCCAATTGTTGTACAACAGTACAACAGCTGACCAGCTGATTTACAGCCAGCGCTGCCAACGTATTTCGTGTGCATACGACCTTGTCTGCATGTTACGCGCTCACTATTTCGTGCCTTCACGTTGCAAATCTGGAGTGATACAAAGTAATTAGAGTAAGACAATGTTAACATTGTCTCACTGATGAGCGAATTGGCCACTTTGCTTTCTCAAATCAGTGAGAGAACATGTACATTGTTAGGTAACTGTAGGAAAAACAACATTTTCATTGCTAAAAACAACTTTTTTACGATTTTGCATTTGACATATTTATCAAATAGTTATGCCGTTTAATTATGTATCAACTTTAAACCCATTTTATGCTGAATATTTTGGTTTTCAATTTGTCCTGATATCTTAAAAAAAAAAGTTGTTCAAGTTTGTTCTAGTAAACGGCGATTTTTGTCAAAAACGCAGGTTTCACAGAAACAAAGATGGCCACAAAAAAAAATTCTGAGGATAAATAATTTGTTTAATACTTGCATGTCATTTCTATTGATACAGTTAATAAATTTTTTTTTTAATTAAATCAAAATAAAAAATGTTGAGCAACAATGCCTGTATGACTTGAAATGGATCAACCCCTGACTGTCTATAATAAGAATCAAAAGATTAAGTTAGGGAAAAAGTAAAAAAAACTAATATAATAAGTATAAAAACAAATCTAACAGCAGGAAGCATCTTAATTATTTTAAATGCGATTAAATACAACGCTGACTTTAACTGAGATTCGTGCCTCAGGAGAGCGTTTATCAAAAAGACTGGGACGGTGGCGTCGTCCTGTAATCCGGCTACTAGGTCACGAATTGTGGATATTTATAGGCATGGACTGTGGATGCGATGTTCCCTGGTGTGGATTAACGTCCGCACTAGTGAGTACTACGACTATCCGCAGTACTATCCTGATAATTAGACCAATTCGTTAATTAAAAGGGAAAATGTGGTTAGGATTCCACTATAAACTGTAGGTTCCTTAGTTGCCATTGGCTGTATGGGCTATTAATTAACAGCTGTGTCTAAAGAATGTGTCAGCCTTGGTCTCTAACAAGATTACAAGATTGCTCACTTATCCTACACTCATCCTTCACTCATATTTCGTCTAAAATACGCACTTAGTGGCGTCCCCATCTTAAATAATTGATCAAATTGATTGATAAATTGAGTTATTGGCTATGAATAGGAAGTTTTTCATTGGAGACCTTTCATTCATGTAATATGCGGTTTAAAGGTGTAAGGCTTACGGTTCACTCAAAAGTTCATCCTTATTATTAGCTTAAAATATAGATAGCCTAGAATTTACCGTAGGTGTATAAAAGCGAGGCAAGCCACTGATTTTGACTCGGTAGTGTGGGATTGAGTTGCCAGGTGTTGATTGAGGTTTCTCTTGAGTTTTGGACTCCTCTTCAATAGTTTCTTGTTTAACTTCTGGTTTATCTTCTTCAATGTCCGAAACATTTTCATTTGTCTTCTCAAGGGGCTGCTCACTTTCATTTTTTATCTCCATTTGTTCAGGTTCTTTAGCAGCCATAGGTAATAATAGATGCCTAAAAGTATTACATAAATGTTACATAATAATAACTGTAATTAGATATGGACCTAAAATTGATAAAGAGTAAATACAGTAGGACCTCAATAACTGAAACCTTGATAGGCAGATCTCAAATCCCTAATATCTTAAATCCCTATGAATTACAATATTAAAAGTGGAGCTAAATGGTTTATGTTACCATTTGTGGTGTTATGTCAAGTGATCCTGCTTCAGTAGTACACTACTCAATATTATGTGTAGTGGAACATACTTGTAGAGAAGGGCTTTTAATCTTGAACTGTCATGTCAACCTTATGAGTATTCACATTTAAAGAATTAAAGATTTTGACAGCGGTTTCAACTGGGTAATGAGAACTGTCAAAGTTGGATTGTTTATTTTTTAATTTAATAATTGGCGAAAAGCAGTCAACAAAAATACTTCGATATCTGATGTGTGTTTGAAAATGATGCAATGGAATACCTAACAATTAATAGACAAATAGACCATAGACAATACAAATTATTAAAAATATATCGAATGGACAGAGCGTGTATATACACTGCAGAGCATTAAAATGGAAAGATGAACCTCCTGGAAAATGATAATATCTTATTTTTGTGTTAAAGAAAAAAATACTCAAACTTCAATCAACTTCTGAACTGCAGCTTGTATCTCTTGCGGTGCGCCGAGACTTGGCCGACTTCATGCTCCTACTGAAAATAATCAGAGGTCTTCTATTTTGTCCGGACATCCTGTCAAAAATTGACTTCAAAGTAGGCTACCGTCTGGCACTAGGACTAGGGAACTCTTCGTCCGAAGACACTACAACACGTCTTTCGACTTCCACAGCCCACTAGCTCGTCTTGCCCGGCTTGGAAACCGTGTTGCTCCGGACTGTGACCTGTTCTGTGACAAATTTCTCATATCAGAAGATGTGCTAAGGAAATCTTCACTCCTTGAACCTGTACGAGCTTAAACTAGGCCTACTTCCAGACACAGATTTTCACCAGCATTTGTTCATCTTGTCTCTGATATAAGTAAATTTTGTAAAACTGATTATTTATGTTTGTTCCTGCATTTGTCAATGTTGATATTTATTGTAAAATAACTTTACACTGTTTTCTTTGATCTCACTCATGCACTACTTGTTGCCATCCAACTTTCTATTTATAAATTGTAAATATTTGTATTGTTAATATTTTTGTTACTATTGATATTGTTACTACTATGGTTATTGCTCACTATTTTTGTACAACTTTTACTATTTTGTTTCCTGTCATTTCAAGTTGTGAATGTTTTTCATTGTAAAGTGGATATGCCGTTGGGAAATAAAATAAATAAATGAAATCAATTGTAAGCCTGGAATACAAACTTTAAAAAATAAAAATTTGCGCGACCAGCAGGGCTAGGGCAGGCCGCACGGCTGCGGTGAGACGACATCGAGTAGTGCGAGTACTAACAGCTGATCGAGAGCTAGTTTTGTTAGTGCTCAGCTCATTGACCTTTCTGGATATTGTTGTTGAAGTTACAGCTACAGCGACGCATTATCCTCTCTCCACTCTCCCGCCCCCCCTCACAGCTATCGTCAGCTGGAGGAGCCGAGCGCTGAGCGGTCGACTGCCCCTCTACTCGTCTGCACATGCGTCGAGACTGTTTCTAATCTTTACAGATAGATCGCACCCATGCTAGCGCTGTTCTAGCGCTCCTAGCCAACAAATTACTGGCAACAGGTCCACTATGGCCATGGAACGTCTATATAGGTATACTAGCTGTTTGCCCGTTCTACGTACGGGAATCTTGTAGTAAGTTGAAGCCATTCAGAACAGGGGTTGGTTTGCATATTTAGTGTGCATTTTTCCAGATATGCTGGCAAAACTATTACTGTATAGGAATACATAATAAACCTTCGCAAACACATTATCTGACAGTTTCAAAGCCAAAACGAATGCTTCGCAATTAAATGTCAACCGATCGTGTTAGTCCATATTTTATATCTAATGATAAAAGGAACTGCTTTATAGATCTATGAGGCATAGCCCTTACGGAGGCCTGTAACTGAAAGTTACTTTTCACACCGGTTAAAAGTAGTAAAAATACTACCTCAACCTCACTACTGCACACTTTATTCGGGTTGAAATTTGCATTAACAAAGGTGCTCTTTTTTCACGAAACACTGAGAAATAAGGACATCAATGCGTTACCAACAGGCTTACACACACAAATACAGAAATGAATTAGGGGATTTACTACGCTTTAACCAAAGCAAATTACAATTATTTGAAAGTTTTGATAGTGTCATCAAGTTTTATAATAATCGTTTTTAGGCCTAATCAAACTGTAAAATTGGTGTAAATCCGTTGGCAAATATATAAATAAGTAAATAAATACACAGCCCACAAAACATTTATACGTTAACAACGCCAAGCTTTAAGAATTCATGATGGTTTGCTAAATAAATCGTTCACTAATGTAATATCATTTTCATAGCATAAAGTAACATTTTGGAGTCCATACAGAAAACGCAAACAAATTATACAGTAAGACATCAATTAAATTTAATAAGAAATAAGGTACAGCACTAACGATAACTATAGTTGTAAATAGTGATGTGTTTGTACGTAAAAATGATTCTTGCTGCTACCACCAGTTCTAAGGAAAAGTAGCAGTACCAAAAGCCAACGTTTACATTTAAGAAAAGAACTATAGGCTAGTACTTACGACCAATTCAAACTGTATTATAGGTGTTAATCCGTTGGAAAATATATAAATAAATAAATACACAGGCAACAAAACATGTAACGTTAACAACGTAAAGCTTAAAAACTCACTATGGTTTGCTCAAAAAAACTTTCACTTGATGTGGTGCAGTACCGAAGCTATTAATCTCCCTTGGTTTTAAATTTTTTAAGTTTTCGAAAATTATAGTTATTTCTCATTTATTTGTAAGCAACTTTTAATGTTAACATATTAATGACAGTTTGAAGAAACCACCTTTATCCAAACAAAGGTTTCTTTTTTAAAAGATTACGTAATCTCTAAACTATAATCGGTACACATATCTAGCAAACATTCGGAGGAAATGTGACAAAAAACGCACAAATCTGGGGTTTTTGACGTTTGTAGTTTTACTTCCTAAGTAGAAAAAGTACCGATGTCGTTTTCGAAATGTAAGTAAGTACAAACCGAAAGTGACACATTGGAAAAAGCGAGTTGCGATTTTAGCTACATCTGTAAGTTAAACATATGTTACGATCACAGTGAAATTAGAAAGATCTTCCAAGATCGCAGCAACATCCACGATCACCCACTGCAGTTGATTTTTTACTTTGCACTTTACACAACTGTCTTTGAAGCGCCGTCAATGAGTGGAAACCTTTTTTGTAAACTATTGGTGACGATGATTAAAAAAATGTAAGTTTCCCAGCACTGATTCACAACACTGATTCTCAGTATTTTCTCCGGTTATTAAAACTCAAGAACAATCGTTGCACTTGCGATTAATTAAACCGGTTAAGTAAGGCACAACGTTTTTAATCTCACTTGGTTTAGATGTGCTAACAAAACTTGATCGGAAATGGTTGCGGTATTTGTAAACAGTATTTAATGTAAACATATCAGTGACAGCTAGAAATGAGAACTAATCCAAACAGCTGATCGTTATTTCATAAAATGTAATAGTAAACATTGGGAGAAAATTGGACAAAAATCGATCAAAATTGGGTTTTTGATGGTTTGTTATATTTTTTCAAAAGTAGTTAGGCCATATTTTAATAGCCAAAGGAGTGAAATTCGCCTCCTTACAGCTTAGGCGCCTATTTCTCGCCAATCCAGTGAATACAGAAAAATAATTGGAATCTTGATCTGTACTCTAGTTTTCAAGGAGTAGGCCGCGTAAAATGACATTTTGGCGTTACAGACGAAGTCACAGAATGGACAAACAGACAGACATACAGACAGAAATTGAGATAAGACTCGTTTCGGCTTTCTTAGGCTATGAAACGTAAAAATAACCAAAAACTGCATGATTCTAAGCAATGTACAGACAAAACTGTAATTTTATTTATATAGATATAGTCAATGCTATAATGCATTTTCCACCCTAACTAATAATAATCTCAAGAATAATATTAAACATACCTACTTCTGAATATATATTTATTTTATCGGCTACATTGCTCTTACTCCTAATTATTCGTAGGATACGATATTATGGTACCGATACGTTTGTAGGTACTGTACTACACTAATACTTTCGGCAACACTGGCCAACAATCTTCGTGCTTGGTTCCCATTGGACGGGGCGCGAGGCTTCTGATCGGGAGTTAGCGGGGAATGATGACTGTTATTCGTTTGAAAATAACGCCTGTACCTAATACTTCCTAATTGCTCGAATTCGAGCAACAGGTACACTAGTAAAGTACAGTTTTGTACATTGAATGGCGTCAACTAAATCTATCTTAAATTAATAATTTACAAATTTGCATATCTTGGATCATTATGTACATTAAAAACCAAGAACCAGGAAATGAAAATAATCAAAACTGAGTTAATTACTAATGCTAAGAAGAGGGGAGGTGGAAAAATACTCTTCCAGGGAATAGAACGCTTTATCTACTAAATAAAGTTTTAGTTTTCGCATGAAATTCTTCCTGCTTTGTTCATTTCTGATTTCATTATGAAGATGCTTAAAAAATTTTAATCCTATATAGGATGGTTTTTTTCATAGAATTTTAATTTGTGTTTAGGTACTTGAAATAAGGAATTTTTTATGCCGAGTGTTGTATGGGTGATAATTTGTCTCTAATTTGTGATAAAACAGATAAGAAATGCATAGTACCTTAATTAAGATTCAAGTCGTTCACTTTAATAACCCACAAACTTTGCAGCTTACAATAAAAAGGATTGCATATTCTGACAATGTCTCTAGGCCTAGAACCTAACCTCAAATTGGATGTCAACGCAGTAAATGTAGCTTTTCATAGACTAGATTTTAGATCAGATTTGCCAGTCGTTCACGCTCCGGTCGTTCACAGTGAACGATGTTGAATATCGTGAACGATTGGCGCAATACTGGCTGTACTTTAAATGTCGTTGCTCTTTTACAGCTATAAGGTTTAGGGTATAATATTTTATGGTAGTCGTTTCTTCATTATAACATCAAATTCGAAACAAAATGAATCTTTCACAAACGACCAAAGAATGTTAGGCTATGTTTGTAATTTCATAAAAAAAAAGATTTCATTAAAATATTGTTGAAACATTACATTTGGGTTTACATTTCTTCTAATCATATCCATTACTCTATGTGTTTTTCAGTAACTTAATCCAGTTATACGTTGTTCAATGCCATCAATGCCAGTAGTTCACGGTCAGTGCCAGTAGTTCACGGTCAACGCCAGTAGTTCACGCTAACCAAAACACATATATTATTCTCACTGCTTATACTATATTATGATGTTTATGTGTTTTCTGATACATGCCATACCGGTAATCATATTTCAGTACAAACAACAATTTACTGCAATTTACTGTTGAAATATTTGTCATTCGTAGGTACTAAAGTTTTGTCTGCAAAGTAGAGCCAATTCATTTTAGGTTAGCTCAAATTGTTAAAATTTCCTCAAATTGAACGAAATAAAATATTTTGGTTTCGTTTATTTGAATTTTGAAGGGTATAAGTAACATTTATGATGAAATTTTTAATTTAATATCATTTTTACTATTTTATTTTTTGCAAACTCATCAGCGTGACCGACTGGCATTTTTTGTGACCTTCAAGCTAAAAATAGAGTTATAAATTAAGGTAAGCAAAATTCAGCTCTGCTGATTAGTAGGCTATACATTATTCCTTATTAAATACTGATTGTAATAGGCTAGTAGTATATCGATTTTAAAAGTAAAAATAC